GTCTTCCCGGCCACAGCGCGTCCAGCGCTAGCGAGAGCAAGAACCTCGTCCCCTCCCCCGCCGACTTTTTGGGCCTCCTCCCCTGTGGCTCCAGGAAGCCGCCTCACCCGGATCCCTCCGCCGCTCGCCCGCCCTTCCCTGCGTGGTCTCGCTCGCTCCGCGCTGACGCCTCCGCCAGAGCCTTGTTTGGGGGAGCGAAAAAGTAGTTCTGCCGGACGATGTAGGCAGCTGCGGTTGTTCCAGCCGCGGGTGTTCCGCTGCCCCCGGGGCCTTTGAGTGCCCAGGACATGCACTTTGGAGTGTGTACCAAGTTAGCCTTAGTCCGGGCCCACCAAAGAGCACTCCCGCAATCCCGAGTTCACGTCCCGCCCCCCTTGCCCTACAAACTATTTTTCTTGCGGGAATGTACTCGGATCCCGGTTTTCTGACTATACGTATGGAACGGTTTGGTCGCTGTACGCTGGTCCTGGTCCAGATGCGCGGACAGCGTCTCTGTCGTGAAGCAAAGCCCAGTGTGTGGACCGCTCACCTGGCACCTGCCGGCTCGTCCCGCCTCAGGGCGGCTGCGCCCCAGCCCTGGCTTCCCAGAGAAGGCTTCGGAAGGCTGGCGCCAAGGGCCAGGGAGAAAGGATCAGGGGACTGGAGCCAGGGTTTCTTGGTTTAAATGTTGCTTTGAGGCTCTTTTGCCTTGGCAAAATGCAATGTACGTATTATTTGCCAGATTGAGAAAGCATGGTACTTTCCAAGCAATCGATTTAGCAAGCTTGCTGTGGAAAAATTAGGAAGAAGAGAATGAAGTACAGTATACGAATCCAGTAAATAGAATTAGGTGTCTCTGTCTGAAGAGTTCCCAGATATTTTTCCGGTTTCTATTTCTACAGAGTAGAGACATTTAGGTACTCGTCTGTTTTATGATTGAATAGTTGAATGTTGTGGTAATTGAAGTACCATATACAATATGGTTCTCCAATTCTGCCTGCAAACGCCTAAAGGGGCTGTCCTTTATCCAGCTATTTTCAGACTTCTGAACCTAAAGTGGCGTCGGTGGTAAGGGACTTCAGCCATTTTGTGGAAATCCAATCTAATAAACAGTGGATGTGGAGAGAGAAAACAATTAGCTTTTAACAATGCTGTTCTAAAAGTCATTCCACAACAGTTCATGAAAGGATCAGTATCCCTGAATAGATGCATGAGCTCAGGCTGACGTAGAACAGGATTTAAAAAAAAAAAGAAGAAAAGAAAAAGATAAAGGCCAAAGATGACTATTGCTGTTTTTTTTTTTTTTTTTTTTTTTTAAAACCAACCCCGCAAATTTTTTAATTTTTTTTTTCAAAGCACAGCCAGCTAATTTTGTAATGTTTATTTTTGGAAAGAATAGAAGCCTATTAGGATTCCAAGCCACTTTCCCAATGATCGGATCTGGACATATCGCCACCTGCTGGTGCGTCCCAACATGACAATTTTTATGCTGAAAACTCCCAATAGTATGAGTAACTCGAACGAGTTCCGTTTGTCCATATACAACGAGCAAAATGCAAGTCTTATCCCAAAACTTCAATAAAGCTTTGTTAAGTATACTAAAAGCCTTATTTTTCCTTATTCTAATGATGTTACCATGGAAGTACCAAATGAATTGGACCCCATGACTCATCAATGAGTTCCCATCTTCCCTTCAAGTGTGCCTTCAGTACTTAAGTTTCAGGAATAAAACTCTCTGGGAAAGTTTCCTAATTCACCTTCTCTTCCTTGCATACAAAACCTCTTGGCAAACTGCTTTCAAGATCTTTCCAAACTTAACAGACCAAAGGTTCTAGCTATGAGCAAAGAAAAGCTTCAGAAGATGGTGAGCAAAGGATTGAATAACCAGTGGTTATTCATTCCGGAACGAAAAACAAAACAGAAAAAAAACCTAATGAAAAAAATCTCCATAATCAACCACAAAGGACTAATGACAAAAACATCCTATGAAAGCTTCTTGGCAACTGCTGGCAGGGCAGCTCCACTGTTCTAAAGGTTCCACCTGTAGGGAAAGCCTACAGAAGACATGTAAAGGGTTAGGTTAAGTGTCAGTCGGGTACCTAGAGAGCTGACACTGCTGACCAATCCACTCGACAGGCTAAGGAAGTTTTCTAACATGTTCTCATCCTTCATCCATTCTTTCAACATACTAAGTACCTACTATGTGCCAGGACTGTTTTAGGGATTGGAAGTCCAGTTCACAGAGCCAGAGGTCCTGTCTTCATGGACTCATTCCACATCATTATTGTCAAAGCCACTACCCACACAGGTGGTAGAACCAAAAAGAATTCAGCTCTTCTTTCAACAAACTATTTTCTATATATTGACTGCTACTCACCAAAAATAAAAAATAGTAAAGATGATTAATGCCAAGCAACAGATTAGTGATGTTTCACCAGTATTTATGAACAGTGATTAGTATTTCTACAGGCCAAAGCCTTAAAAAAAAATCTCAGCTAAACTACAGCAAAGATTTAAGAGGCAGACTCTTGATTTATAAAAAGTTATTTTATTTTTTAAAAAATTAGTACAAATCCTATTGAAATATAAATCCTTCTTCAACAGTGTTATTATTAAATAGTAATCGATATGCAAATAAATATTTTATTTTTTCCAGCCATAGCACAGGTTAATTAGCCCTTTATTTACCTGTGATGTAAAAATTTAACATCTTACAATGAGTCATTTTCAATCCTCAGAGGTTTCTTTGTAGTTATTAGCTACAACATCAAGAAAAGATTAAAAGGATTCCCTTCCTCTTATCATTTATCCAGGTTTCTCATTATCTAAAAATGAAAAAAATCTTAATACATTACCATGAGTGCCTCAAATAGCAAGATCTGCATTCCCTTCATTTCTGAAGGGTAAGAGAGAAAAGCATTGGTACCAGATTAGGCCTGTTCATTTGTCTGGTATGGAACAGGTTGCATTGTGCCAATATTCAAGAGCCACAGTTTTCTTTCTTTCTTTCTTTTCTTTTCTTTTTCTTTCTTTTTTTTTTTTTTTTTTTTTTTTTTT